CCCCCCGCGCCCCCAGTTTCTGTTCCCTACGTGGATTTGCAGCTGCTCTCGCTCCGTAGCTCGAAAACAGCCCATGACAAGAATGGCTCTGAGGTTTGCTGGTCACGTTGACTGTACATGATCAGATCTAGGTGCATCCTCACAGCGTGAAGGAGAGGCTGAAGGTCAGGAGCGTGGCAGACAGAGGGACTGTTAAAACAGAGATTGGTTGGGAATAGAACCTGATGTTGAAGGTGGCCGTAAATAATGCCATCAAAGCAAGGCTTTGAGGGAAAAGATGGAATTATTTATAAACTCCATACGTATGAACATTTTGTTAAATAATACAGCTGTGGACGTTGGTAACTCTGAAAACTTGTGGCATGACAGCAATTGTGGGAGAAAACAAGATGTTTTTCATTGAAAAGAGCTGTTATGACCAAATTTGGGTTTTTTTTTTTCCTTCACCTTTTGGAAAACACGGTTTCATCCCATTTTTTGATCTATATGTGCTTTTGTCTTTATGTATCACCTTCTTGCTGCATCTCTTCATGACAGACTAAAGGGCTGCCAAACCACTGTGAGTAGAAGTTTCACTTCAGAAAGTCTCAAACTTGTCTCACTGAGACACACGCAGGTAAAAAAAAAATCAGATTTTAGTTGCACTGGTTCTTAAATAAGTTCTAAAATAGCGAATAGAATAAGTCAACAGTTTTATCACCTTTTCTGACATATTAGTATTACATTACATTACAAATATTACAATTAGTAATCGCCATTGTATTACATCATGGAATAAAGTCAGAATAACAGTAACAGCGTAAGTCTGTATCATAGAATTTAATGAAAACTGTGACTTCAGATTTGAAGAACCGAAATGTTTTTAAAAAAAAAAAAAAAAGTATTTCGAAGGACTTTTAAAAAGTTTTTTTTTCTCCCTTTGAATGAAAATAAAGGCTATTCTGGAATGTTTTCACTTCACATTGAGAATACCAGGTTTATTCATACATCTGCCCCTCTCTCACCACCAAATGACCTTACCTAGAGCCTTTTCCCTGTCATCAGCTTGCAGGAGCAACTTCAAGAATATCTTCTTTTTATATTAAGGGTGAAAGCTTGGAAAAGGCAAAATTCATGGTCTGGTTGATGTGATGCAAACTGTCCCTGCGGGGATAATGCTGTAACACCTTTTCCATCGGTGGTGCAGCGTGGAGGTGGAGTAAAACAACAGACTTACGAAACTGTCTCGTGGAAGGGCAAAATCTGAAGCTAAGGCAGGTGGATTAGCGTGTAGCAGATAGCTGTTTAGGTTTCCTATGGGGCCGCATCGATCTCTGCAGCATCCTGACACCACAGTCTACATGTGGCTTCACGTCCCCTCTATCAATACATTTTGGTGACAGCATCGAGCTGTGACACGTCCTGGGCTGCACGTCACCTTCATGTCTCTCTCATCACCTTCCCCCACGACTTCTCTGCTTGTTGTCATCCTCCATGCAGCTGACTTTCCTCCCACCCTTTCCGCTGGCCACCACTTTCCTTTTGGCAGATGGCTCAAAAGGGCTCTGTGCTCCTGTCATGTGCAGGGAAGCCTTTTCTTGCCCAGTGCTGGAGTGGTTTTTTGGGATAATTAACTGTGAAAAGCATCACTCTTGGCTAGGGGGAGAAGCTTAGTGGAACAACTAATTTAAAATTCTTGCGTGGTCTCCACTTCATATACACCCTGAAGAATACACCCATTTTACAGAACCTCAGCTCTCCACAGTGTTGTCTTGGTGCGTATCGACAGAAGCATTGAAAGATGTGGGTTGATATCCATGGTGGGATGCTGGTGGGAGCGTGGACTAACAGACGCTGATAAAGTCTCAAAGGCTTGTTGTGGAGTTGATGGAAATACTTTCAGTTGAAGAGCTGATCATCCAGCCCATCAAACATGGGTTCGCTGGCAAAATAGTGCAGTTAAATAGCCTATAAATAGCTGTACTACATAAAAATGTATTCACAGCATCAGATACTCATATTCACGTGTATATGAAATGCAGTCAAGGTACATTCAGGAAGACATCATTGTAATCTGGGTTTCTGTGTGGGGATTTTCAGAAAAAGATCTGAAATTCTCAAAGCCGTGTTCAGTTTTTCAGTGGAAATGCAAGTGGCAAAAACCACAGCTGAAGGCTGAAATATTTAGGCATTAAGTGATGGAGATAGCGGGGGGGGGGGGAAAAAGTTTTCCTGCAAATAGACAATAGACAGTCAACACACCAAGTGCACTTTTCATTGAAAACCCACTTTTTTTTTTTTCTTTTTTTTAAATCAGGAATTCCACAGAACAATTTGCCTGTGATGGAAAAGAAGGAGGTGAAAAAATTATACTTGTTACATGGGTACTAACCTCTCTTTCTTTCTTTCTCTTTCTCCTTTCTCACACTTTCCTCCTCTTGCAGCAAGAAAAACAGCAGACACCAAACAAGAGACCCTGGGAAGGAATCAGGAAAGTCCAGTCCCCACCATCATGGGTTAAAAAGGACATCGAACCTGTGGCTCAGTCTCCCCTAGAACTAAAAACTGTAGAGTGGGAGAAAACAGGAGCCACCATCCCCCTGGTGGGACAAGACATTATTGACCTTCAGACAGAGGTCTGAGCAGAAAGGGAAGAAAGGGACTTTTTTTTTTTTCTGAAAAACAAACAAAACAAACAAAACAAAACCACGTTTTAAAGAAATGATTAAATTAAATCGGAACCGAGCGAGACAAGTGTTTGGTTTCTTTTGAAACCTTTTGGTAAGACGGAGTAACTTTTGTATTGTTCTCAGCAGAGAGGGGGAATATTACTTTATAGAGTATAGTAGCTGTAGGTTCAGGACAACACGAGCTTTCCCAGGTAGGACTGGAGAAGAAGTGAGCCTGGAAGAGAGCGAGGAGGAGGCAGAGGGTGGGGAGGGGCTGCAGGGGACGAGCCCTGCCCAGATGCTTTTGGGCTGTTGCCACATGCCGGGCGGTTGCCACATGCCAGGAGCCTTCCTGCTCTGCCACGGGGAGGTGTGGAAGGACGCCCAGCAGCCACGGCGAAGGGCCAAGAAGATGGGAGTTGTTTGCGGACCACAGGAGGGGGACACCTGTGAGAGCCTCGCTGGGATGCCGTCCGGCGGTACATCACTCAGCCACGAGGGTCTGTGGCATTCCCTCGCCAATCCTTGCCCCCCACCTCTCCCTCAGCAGCTCATCGAAGAGGGAAGGAGATGGGATGCGCCAAGCAGCGGCTAAGAAGACAATGCCCACTCCTACCTGCCACACCGTGACCTGGCATCGGTGGCACCCCCGCCGCGGGTCCCCACGGAGCCCAAAGGGGGAAGTGGTGGCGTCACCCATGGCTTAGGTGGAGAGGTAAGGCGGGGGGGCTTCCTTCTCTCGTCCCTCCGCAGTGGGGCCTCCGCGTGCCCTAAAGAGTGGGACAGGCGCAGGAGGAAAGGACCACCTCCCAAACCTGCTCGCCCCATCTCCAGGGAGAGGGTCGAAGGTGTTAGAAAAACAGACCAACAAGAAGAATGTGGGTCGTTTCATTGACTGTTAAATAGATAAACTCAGCACGGGCCTTGCAAAGGTCCTCTTGGCCTCCCTTTTTTTTTTTTTTTTTTTCTGTTATATTTCCTTGCTTTTGGACTCAGATTTATTCCAAGCTGCCCCTCCCTGGAAGGCAGAGAGAGAAAGAGGGAAAGACAGATCTGCCGACGTACCTGGAGATATTTGGTATATAGAGATGTTGCCTTAGGACATTGAGACAAACTGACAACATGAATAACGTCCACTTGGAAACAAACAAACACACAAACAAAATAATCTATTTTTTTCCTTCTTCTTTTCTTTTCTTCAATAAAAAGAGAACTTGAAACCCGAGACCTTTCTTTTCTTTGGCTCTTGTCATTTCGAATCTGTGCCGTAGGACTGCGCAGGCATGGGGTGAGGATGCCACCTGCTGAAGGTGGAAGGCAAGTTGCTCCATGGAAAGTTTGGGATGGTGGGAACACACAGCCCCGTCGCCGCTGGCTTGCAATGTTTTGCTTTGTTTTATTCCATTTGGGCTTTGGTTATTTTTTCCCCCTCGCTGGCTCTTCTCCTCCCTCCCCACTGCCCAGAGCCAGCAAGCAGGTTTGTGGTCCTACAAGAAGGATGAGGTGGAGCTGATCAGGAGAGCAGGACATTCTTCATCATAAAATACTGTCTTTCTGTTTCACCATGAAAAAAATAATAACGATTTCTTTTTTTTTTTTTCATTAAACATCTCCCAAGGATATTTACCAAAAAAAAAAAAAAAAAAAAAAA